TATTCATGCAGTTTCGGTCGCTTCAGCAACTTGAGCTGCATTATACACACAGATGTTTAAAATGTGCACACTGATGTGTTATGCTGTTATGTTGCCCTCTATCATTCAGTGCAACAACCAGCTATCCTATCTAACTGCATATTCAGTTTGTCGCTACAGCGACTACACTGCACTTATGTACGTATAAGGACGCGTGTTGCTATTTTGTTGCTCTGTTTCTTTCAGTGCAAAACTAGCTATCTTAATCTACTGTGCATACTCACAGTTTCTGAATGTATGTACGTACACGGATGTGCAATTTACCATGTGTTTTGCTGTAATGCTGCCCCGTTTCCGTGCAGCTAGCCATCCTGATCGAACTGTACATCTCAGTTTCTGTCTCTACGCAGTTCTGTCGCTACGGCGACTTATGCTGCGTTATGTACATGCATGGATGCGCTACAGCGACCGATGCTGTTACGTACATGTGCTATGCTGTTATGTTGCCCCGTTTCCTTCAGTACAACTGGCTATTCTGTGCTAACTCGTCTACTCACAGTTGTAGCTACGGCTATGTGTTTGTTGTTTACTGAGGTGCTATGCTATTATGGGGCTATTATCTACTGTGTATATTCATCAGAGCCCAGGTGGTTGCAATTCCAGCATTTTGCCCGGATGAGGTCAGTGTTTCAGAGTCTCAGAAGTACGCTTGTGCCCCATGCGTGCCCTGCGTGCTTATGTGAACAGAACTAGCCAGTTTCGAACTTCAGAGCAGCTCTTCGTCTGCTACGCGGGTGCTAAGAGGCGGCGCGCTGTCGAAACGGAGGCTATCTCACTGGATAGTGGAGGCTGTGCACTGGCTGGCTTATGCTTCACGGGAAGCCGTTTCCCTATAGGGGTGCACGCCCACTCCACTAGGAGTTTGGCGTCATCATGGGCGTGGGCGAAAGGCATGTCTATTCAAGACATTTGTTTCGCGGCAGGTTGGTCGTCTCGTAATACCTTCGCGAGATTCTATAACTTGAATATCCCTTCATTCGCACCACATGTCTGTCAGTGCAGGGAGAGAAAGCTGAGCTGTCGTTGGACTAGGCTAGACTGCCCCGATGGCGCGCGCTCTAGCCACGGTTCGACTAGTCGTCAGACAGTGCGAGTTATTATTAGCATAGCTATCATGTTCACTATATTGTGCCCCCTTGTTATGTCCGCATTCATAGCCGGCAGTATTTTCCTAAGCACCAATCACTTGCTGCAATCTCCCTCCATTCAGTTCAGCGTGCTTAGCTGGGAGGGGCCTTCGTTGGTGCAGATGCCGAGTTGGCTCTGTGCCAATAGATGTTTTAACCAGGTCCGGTGTCTGTTCCTGAGAGCTGGGCGGGGTTTCTCCCACGCGGCGGGGGTTTTATTGTTCCCCATACGTAATGTCGAGAGACCGACTCGATAAGGGAACGTCTCTGGTTACTCACGTAACCGTAGTTCCCTGAGAGGAGGGAACGAGACATTACGTAACCTGCCGTGTGGGAGGAACTCTCAGTCTCCTTACTCTCGTTCAGCTAAGATTCTGAGGTTTTTGGCGCCCGCCGTCACCTATATTGAGCAGTGTCAGCCAATCAGGTGATGGCGGGACCGCCATTGGCTATTTGCAAGCAAAAGAGTTATTCTATCAGACTTCATGATTCGAGGAAAATGGATTTCCCCATACGTAATGTCTCGTTCCCTCCTCTCAGGGAACTACGGTTACGTGAGTAACCAGAGACGATATAATTCGTCTTGTGTATATCTAACGGGCGATCTTTGGTATCATTAATCGTATCATTTGTTCCCTGGCAAATCGTTTTGGCTGAGGGCAAAGTGAAGTTTCATAACTTTATATTTTGGCTATTTTAACGTTGTATCCTGCTGTGTCTGAATGGTTTACTTTATTTATTGTCTTGTATAACTTATTATACCTTAAACTTATACTGTTATAATGTCTCTTACTGATCAATAAAACTGAAATTTAACAAAAATAGACAGGGTTGTGTCATTTTATTTTATATAGCCTATATTTTTATATAGCCTTTTCATTACTATTTTATTTGCTGTATACTGTTTGTTTATTTTATTGACTAAACTATTTACTATTACTCACTGTATCTTATATTTACTATTTGCACTGCATTGTAGTTGTACCATATCGTATATGCCACGATGCCATCAAGCGGTGTCTCTGGTCGTAATCAGTCCTTCACTGACCAATCAGCGTCCATTAGCAAAATGCTAGCGTGTTATGGGCAACAACAACTCAACCTGAAAGAAATCGAAAGGACATAAGCACTCGTTCATTCAACTTTCGACCTATAACCCATGTTGAACTTGCAGAACCTACATTCAAATCTGAGATTTCTCAATGACAATCGGGTAAAAGAGACAAATTTAGCCGTCTAGCCCCATTGACTCCCATTCATTTTGCACTCGGACGATCGCCCCCAGTGGAATTCTGGTGGAACTACAACCAAAATTCGGTACAATAGGACTTAATAGGGAGTAGCCAGGCTTTCCGTAGACGGGCTTTGACTATGTATAAAACACTGGTATCCTAGATCGCGCAGGAGGGGGTTTCATTCATGTTAGTGACACCTTGTGTCCCCGACAGGAAAATACCCTGCTGCGCGATCTGTGACAGTAGGCGCGCCGTCAATTATGTCACATTTGAATTGCGCGAAAATATAACGATATTCGAATAAGCAATTTTATGATCGAATTTCGAACGCAGTTCGACTATTCGACTATTCGAAGATCGCGACTCATCCCTAGCCCTTATGTTGTTAAAGTTTGTTTATTTAAGAAATTCATAATAAATAATAATAAAGCAAGATACCTTGTTGAAATATGTGAGTTGTGTGGTTTATGTAAACTACAAAAGTAAAGTATAAATTCAAATGATTGTGACAGATGTGATGGGGGAGGAGAATTGATACGTGCGTCATGTTTAGTCAATAAAACTCTTCCGCAAAGGGTACACCTGTGTATCCTCGCTCATAGCTCCTCTGGAAGCCTCCTCACTCCTCGATCCTCGCCTCCTCGCGGTGCAATTAGAGAATGGAGATGTCCTTCAAGATGGCTGAGCTCGATTGGTTTCCGGGTCATAGGATGGAGGACGGAGGAGCGAGGAGACCATAGACAGTATAAGAAATGGACAGAGCCATCTCATTGGAACTCAGTTGAGACAGTTGAAGCCCATTTTTAGCGATTTCTGAGCACTTCCGTTCCTGACGCGCAGACTCAAACCGACTCAAACTAAGCTTGATGACGTGGGCAACCTGTCTGACAGACGTTAATCTTCTAGTAGCTGTGCGTGAAAATTGCCAACGTTAATCTTGCAGAGACGGGGAACTTGAGCAAAGAGTTCTTTGGCGTGAGTGAGCAGGAGTAAGTATTCCGTTGCTTTTATGGACTCATTATCTATGGGCTTCTCCCTTGACGGGACGTCCCCCCGATTGCCTGCGAGCTTCTCCTCCTGTCTGTACGGTAATTTCTGTACAGCGCGACAGAGAGTCGAGTGGTTAATTATGACGCAATCGTTAGCCTATTTTTACTAAAACTGTTTCTACGGGGCCATAATGTAACATAGAAGGTAATGGAGCACTTTATACATTGTCGTGTTTCTTTAGAAATAAATAATGGACAAATGGAGTCTTTAAACGCCTCAGATGTAAAGTTATTCGCTGTCAAAGTGACGCCAAAATGAATGGGAGTCAATGGAAATGCTAACGCAAGTGAAGTTCTGCTACAACATGGCGGCACCCGACCGGCTTCAACTTCCGGTCGATGGATTACCCCCTTGGAGGAGACGAGGAGGGATATTGAGAAGCACCCTTTGTCGTTGTGTAGTGCACTCAGTGCAGTGCATGGTTGCATAGCAACGACAGACGCCACGGGAAAATCGGACCGAATTTTACTAAAAGATAAGCTAATGTGCATTATAAATGTCAGTAATTTATCTTTTTTTTGACTCATTCTTTTTTATAAAAGAATTATCTGAAATATGTGAGGTTTATCTTTTTATAAAAACCTTTTTTGTCAAAACTTTATTTGAACTTGTACCTACATGTTAGATAACATGGTGCAAGACACTCTTTTGAAATCTGGTCATCATTTTTAATTTTATTATTTTAATGTTTATGTAAACAAAAAGAGCATATTGATGCTAATTTTATTTGTTAATTGCTAGTTTTTGACATAAAACCTGTTGAATTGATTTCATTGTGTAGTAGTACTTTTTGAACAGGATTCGTTGATAACCGTGATCATTATGGTCACTATAATCATGAAATTAAATGTTCATGCCATTTCATCTCTAGTTATGATCAACTAAAAGCAACTATAATTATGTACTTTTACAGTATAATATGCAAAGTACAATTTTCTATAAAAAAATGAATCTCTGACATTAAATAAGGGGGACATATACAGGCCTACAAAATTCTTTTAGGTCTAAAACAGTTTGGATAGTTGTTAATAGGATAGTTATGAGGCATTATTTAAGAGATTTAAGTAGGCTATTGTATTACATGAGTAGCTCTGCCACTTTTATTTTTAAAAAGTAGCTCTCAAATGAAAAAAAGTTGGAGACTCCTGGTATAGAGCAATAATCTAATGGAATTAGTGGGCTAAAGTCAGTCAAACCACCTCGACTTTTTTTCTAAATAACTCACATTTCATTCATAATATCACAAATACATGGGGCACTTATGTTTTTATAAAGTGGATGCTCAAAGGGGGTCTCGTCTCGCCCGGAGTGTAATTCAGAACCGCCACTGATGCAACATTCATAATGTTGTCTTTGTATCTTTTTTAAAATTGCATTGTTTAGTTGAGAAGAAAATATATAGAGAGAGTCAAAGGGGTGCTTTAATGAATTATATGTTTTCCTTGATTGAGATAAGAGCAAAGCTGTGGTTTTAGTTTACAGAAGAGGGAGGAGTCAACATATCCGCTGTTCTTCAGCAGTCAGAGCTTAGATTCAGCATTATCCAGACAATAAAATTTGATGATGGAGCTAAGATTAGGCTTCAATTCCACATCTAACAGCACTGCTGTGGGTTCAGAACAGATTGCTCCTGCTGTAGTTCTGGGTTTGTGCTGTTTGGTGGGTTTGCCAAGCAATATCGCAGTAATCATCAGCATTGCTCGTGAGTGGAACACACATTTTAGCTTTACCTTAAGTCTAATGCTAAACCTTGCTGTCTCTGATGCTTTGACCCTTTGCTTGGCTCCTGTCGTGCTGTGTGGAATACTGTTTGGATGGAAACTTGGCCTTTGGTCTTGTAGGATCCTGTTCTTCTTGGGTCACTGGAGTCTGTATGTTGGTGTCCTGACGGTCACCTCCATGAGTGTGTACCGTTATCACAATGTCATCAAGTCAAGGGTCACTAACAGAAAGCTACTGCACAGACTGGAAAGACAACACAGACACCTTCATCTGACTGGCATCTGGATTCTAGCCTTTGTTTTTGCCCTACCAATATTTTTCACTCAAAGACTCAAAGACAAGGATAGATTGCAAAGATGTCAGAGGACAATGGAGTCACGGTCTGTAGAAGTGGCTGTTTTACTTCTTGAGACCCTGTTGGGGTTCGTCATTCCATTTTTGATCATGTTAACATGTTATCTCTGTTTGCACAAAGGCTTGAGCCAAAAAGCCAAGAGCTCCAGTCTACCTCGAGCTCCACAGGACCAGAAACCAGAGGGCAAACGTTAAGACTTACAAGAAGAGACATGTGGTCAGCATCGTTGTGGCTTTCTTTCTGTTTTGGACTCCTGTGCACATCATCAATGTGATTGATATAGTTACTACTCTAACTAAAACATCACATCCAGATGATCATTCCCAACTGAAGTCCTTCCGTAGAGTTTATGGTGATACAAGCAAGACTCTGGCTTTGCTAAACTGCGGTCTGGATCCTTTTCTCTATGTTTTCTTTTCAAGGAATGTCATAAACTGTAGTAAGTAGAATCCCCTTTGTTTTTCAGTCTGTAGAAAGATGTAGAACATTTAAAAGCATTTATAAAAACAACCCTGTTTTGAGTTTTTGTAGCTGCAGTATTATTATATATAATCTTTACCATGCACAATTAACTACAGTATATATGGTTATGCACCCTGCTTCCATCCTCTCTCTTAAAAGTAAAAATAATTTAATTGCTGCTATAGTGTCTTATAAATGCTGTTCCTCTATGATACTGAAAGGCAGGCAGGATTTGTAGGTCTTGTGTCTCTGTACACACTGTGCATCCTTGCTTCATAACCCTGATGCTAAATGCTCTCAGAACTTCTGCTGAACAATAAAACAATTTTCTTTTAGAAACTGCTGTACAAGGAACTCTGTTTGCATCACTGAATCATTTTCCTGTTAACACTGTACAGCTGTTTTGAAACTATCTGTATTTTATAAAGCACTATATAAATAAAAGTTACTTGACTTGACAGAAACAATAAAGGAAACACTGCATGGTGGTTTAACCAGAAGAGTTTGACAGAAGAGGACCGGACATCTGGTTGGCATGATGATCAGCTTGCATTGTCAGTGTACATCTGTATAGGTTAAGAACAACATATTAGACTGGAATTTATTTTTTTAATGAAAATATATTAAACATATATTTCCAGTTATGCAATTTACAGTAACATATATGTCAATATCATTTAAATCCATGAACACAGATTTGAAAACAGAATAACAGTACAACATACATCAGGTCACCGTTCGGCTTAAATGCTTCTTTTTTCTTTCTTTTTTATCAACCGGATAAGGATTTTGACTATATGCACAACAACATGTTGCAGTACTTAAAAAGTTTAATAAGTTTCATTAAACTACTTTTTCTGACATATTCTTAAATTTAGAATACAACCAACAGGGAGCTAGAAGACAGGGTGAGGGAGGTTGAGGCAGGTGGTTCAGGTCTCCATTCACAAACAGATGCATTGGAGGAAGCTGGTTTTGGATATAGTACACTTGTGCACTGCACGCCTCAGTCTATGTTGGATGTGATGCGATATCTGAGATCTCGGAGACAGAAATGAAATCAGCGACTCTCGGGACGTTGTTGCCACGATGCACCTGTCCAGCAGGAAGTGGCACTACAGTCGAGGTCTAAAGAGGCTGAAGGACTGAATATCGACTCTTCTCTTGAACATAATCAGATCTCAAACAATAACATGATAAGGTTTCAAACTAGCCTAAAACATGCCAGAGAGGTACAGCCATGAGCAGGCATTCGTGGAGCTTTGAAATTGTCCGAAAATGTTCCTGATTTTTCACTACGTTTGTTTTCTAAAGTGGTCCAAATTGGATGATGTATATACACTCACTCGCAAACTTCCCTAAGCACTTCCCCTCTGGGGAATCCCCGCTGCCTTTTTGAAGTGCGTTCAACTTCGTCAAGTGGACGAGGGAAGATTATTTGGACAGACCATTGCCCCCTCGATAGGGAGCGAGTCTACTCAATATGTTCACTTCAGGTAGATCCATAGACCACGATGCAACATGATTGTGACGTCACAGCAGATCACGCTTAATTTACCCCCATCCCACACATTGGAGTTATTTTGACATTTAACCACATAATACTTGTGTAGCTAACTTAAGCTGACTGTTTGTTACACAATTTATTGTATTATCATTTTTGTGTAATGTTTTATATTTTCTCCAACAGCCCGAGCATACATACAGGCCTATAGAATGGTCCGTAAAACAAACTGATCAGGAAAAAACTGTAAATAATAAATCAGCTCCATAGCGGATTCCAGTGATCAAGGGCTTTGGGCGTTTCATTTAAACACATCCGCCAGAAGTGGGCACTCGTGTAACGTAAGCAATGACGTGCATCCGAGTGAACAAGATGGAGGGAAGATATCGAGGGAAGGGCATAAAAAAATGGACTGTCTGTCAATCGGCTCACTCCCAGCATGCTTTGCGTTCACACTGTCCCAGCCTCTTTGAACAACAGCAAGAGGATAAACATTAAACACCATTTTAGCTTCCAACAGGCACAATTCATTAAAAAAAAATCTGATCTTTGATGGAAATGGTTGTACTTCTACATACACGTTTAAAATTTTAAACACCTTTAGTCAGCATCTCATAATAATAATAATGATGACAATTATAATAATCAGAGCAATAATTACAGTTTAGCTATAATAATGCATAATGTCTTTTAAATCTACTCTTTAGATATGTTCCATCTCTCTCTCCTCCATTGTTCAAAAAGTTCGTGTGTTCGTCCCATTATATTGTCCCCGACATACAGCAACTTAAATATTTACAATAATTCATTTACAACCAATTTAAACATTTTGTCCTTTTTGGAGATATAAAGCTCATGGCACAGGGTACGTTTGTCCAGTGAGTTTAAAAGAGGCTCTGTGGCCCGTTCACCCCTTCACTCACATGGCCAGTAGCTGATTGAGTGCCATGCGGAACTGCTGTGTGCAGCCCGCGAGCTCCCGCACCCTCTCCGTCATGTCTCTGGCGGACCCTGGCGAGGGGTACTGCAGGGCTGCGGTCTTGGTGCTCACCACAATGTCTTTGAGCTTGTCGCAGAGCGTGTTGCTGTGCTGAGCCACCCTGTTGCGCACCTCGGGAGACTTGGCTTGCCTGGAGAGCGTGTCTCCGATAAAGACGAGCTTGTGAGCGCTGAGGATGACGAATTTGCTGTGGGCAACAAAGATTTTGGGCGGCTGGTTGTTGTTGATGGAGGAGTAGAACGCGTCGATGGCGTTGGTGAGCGTGGTGATGTTGGCCTCGCACTGCTCCATGTAAAAGAGCAGCAGCTGCCGGTCGCCCATGCACAGCTTACTGCGCGGCGTCTGAGGGTACTGAGAGGGCGGAGTCCAGCCCGAAATGTCATTGTTGATTGGTCGAGAGACTTCCTGCTCCAGCCGCTCAAACTGCTTCAGCTGTTGTGGGTTAGGGACACGAGTGAATAATATTGTATTTAACAGATGAGCAATAAAGAACATTGTACATATATAAATAAATACATGAATAATAAAATGTTTATTTATATAAAATGTCATATTTGTAAGTGTAGGTATAAGTAATGCCATCTGTATATACTTAAAGGGATAATTTACCCAAAAATAATTTACTCACCATCAAGTTGTTTCAAACCTGTATGAATTTCTTTCTTCTGCTGAACACGAAAGTCGGTAACCAAACAGTTGATGGACCCCATTGACTTTCATCATTGTATTTATTTATTTATTTTTTCATAAAACTGCCCATTAACTGTTTGGTTACTCATATTCTTCAATATATCTTCTTTTGCGTTCAGCAGAAGTTGAAACTCGTACAGGTGTGGAACAACTTGAGGGTGAGTAAATGATGGGTAATGAATTTTCATTTTTGGGTGAACTATCATATTCATTTTTATATATATGTCATAGAATATTTTTAAAAAAGTGTATAATGTGGTTGGTATGTGATATAACAGGGCTCTTTCAACTCTTTCAATTATTGTTTGATCATACATTTAAAATATATACGTATGGAAATAAATGTATATAAAAAAATACAGTTTAGAAAATTTAAACAATGCTAATGTTAAAAAGCTGAAGCTCAGCTAAATGTTTCAAAGGCCCAACAAGTGGCTTTGTAACCAAGTAAGCATTAAGTATGTAAATAAATGTGGTAACACTTTACAATAAGGTTCATTAGTTAACATTAGGTTATGTATTAACTAACATGAACTAACCATGAGCAATACATTTTTTACTGTATTTGTTCATCTTTATTAACGTTAGTTAATAAAAATACAGCTGTTCATTATTTGTTCGTGTTAGTTCAGTGCATTAACTAATGTTAACAAGATTTTAATAAAGTATTAGTAAATGCTGAAATGAACATGAACAAAGGTTAAAGGGATACTCCACTTTTTTTGGAAATAGGCTCATTTTACAACTCCCCCAGAGTTAAACTGTTGAGTTTTACCGTTTTTGAATCCATTCAGCCGATCTCCGGTTCTGCTGCCGTGCCATGAGTGCAGCAGGCGCAATGATATGCAAACTTAGTCCCGGTCACGTTGGAAGTTACCGAGCTGGGGACTATTTTCAGGCGCTGCGTCATATCATTGCGCCTGCTGCACTCATGGCACGGCAGTAAAGTTTCTTGATTATTACGCAGGAATGAGAGTATAGTTCCTAGCCATATCAGCCTAGAAAATCGCAACTTTACATTTTCCGTCGGTCTTAGTGCACGATGTAACTACAGAAGAGTCAAGTTTTAAATAGGAAAAATATCGAAACTCTTTGGTCTTTTTTTTTTTTTTTTTTTAGAAATGCTAATGGTCTTGTCCACCTCAATGATGTATGCTAAGCCAGCCTTTCTCAAACTTTTTTCAGTCGGGGCACCTTTCAAAAGTGCATAAAATCTCAAGGCACCCCTGTGTAAAATATAAATTAAAAACACTGCATAACCCAAATGTAAATGCAAATGTCCTGTTTATTTAGACAGAACAGTAATGAACAGAGCATAATACGAACTGTAAATAACAATAATAATAACTTTACAGGGCTATCACTTTTGTGAAAAAATCCTGATCGATTTTTGAGACATAAACGTTTATTGAATCGATTGTAAAATCGATTTTCCATGTCTAAAGACGTTTCCATTTTCAGCGCCAAATATAGGCAAATCCACGGACAACTAACAGGCATTAGCATGAGCGTAAAGAGTGCGCTTGAGACGCGCACAAGTCAGCAATATTTCTGATGATTTATTGGCATGAAGTTTCGTGCACAATGACAAACAGGAGTGCAAGATTCTCGAAAAACAATAAGCAGAGTGGACTGCCATAACATCAATGAAAAACATTACTGCAGGCTTCAACATGGCTGTTTACGATTAGAATTCACGAGTTCACACTTACAAATAAGTCAGATAGAATAAATGCGTATTTGGCGTGCTGTCCGAGGAGAGGGCTCCGAGTTAGGTATTCGGCCCGAACCCAGAGCACTCCCCCCGTATTCCTGGCTGTGAAATAAATAAATAAGATAAGCCAAGAGTGAGGAGTCGGGGTGGTGGAGGGATGCTGAAACTGTCAAGGAATGTTAGGTGAGTTGACAGAGTGAATATTTATATGCTTCCTTTCGTGCTGATAGGGTAGACATGGTAATTGTTTGATGACAAGTTGATTGGAATGATTATTTGAACGTGCTCCTCCCGAACTTTGTTTATAAAACATCATATGTCAAACAAATTTCGCCTACGTAGGCGATTGTAGGCCGGATCTGTATCTGTATGCATGGGACTGTCTGAATACCGGCAGAATTCACATTTTTGTTGTAAAAAGAGACACGTTATGCAGAAGTATAGTATAGTTTGTATGTGTGTTTGTCAGAGCCTGCAGTTGCTGTGTGACGCGCGTTCGCGCGGTCGGTGTTGTTGCTAGTGATGGGCGATACTGCAAATTTCTGTATCGATCCGATACCAAGTAAATACAGGGCCAGTATCGCCGATATCGATACCGATACCGATACTTTTTCATTTTAAAAGCATGCATTTGAACTTGTATGCACTTTCCTGTGCTAGAGCAGTGTGTCATGATTTATGAGGTGAATGCATCATTAATATGCTAAATCTGAACACGTTTTCATGACTACTAGTCCTATTTTGTGATTTGTGCTCTCAACTCCCCTTTAATTAGTCAGTGACTTTTACAAAACTACCCTAATTATAGTACTAGCCTACTGTTCAAAAGTTTGGGGTCTGTAAGATTTTTATTTCTCTTAGTAAAAACTGTAATATTACAATTTAACATAGGCTATCTGTTTTCTATGCCATAGTAAACTGTAATTTATTCATGTGATCAAGGCTGAATTTTCGGCATCATTACTTCAGTCATGATGATAATTCATTTTAATATGCTGATTTGCTGCTCAGGAAACATTTCTTATTATTATCAATGTTGAAAACAGTTTCATATTTTGTCGGAAACTATGAAACATTTTATGCAGAATTATTTGATGAACAAAGTTGAAAGAACAGCATTTATATGAAGTAGATTTTTTTTAACAGTGTAAAACCCTTGACTGTCACTTTTGATCAATTTAATGCATCGATCCTTGTTGAATAAAAATATTAATTTCATAAAAAAGATCTTACTGACGTCAACATTTTAAATCGTTATGTACAGTTTTGGTTTGTTTATTGCGAAATAACTCCCGATTGTTTCTCTGTCGTCTAAGCAAGGCTTCGTTTCCCAAACGCAATGGGCATGTGAGCTCAGCGAAGCACCAGCAGCGAACGCTCTCTGTGATTGATTGGTTTCGTCTTGTATACAGATGACTAGGAGAAAAGGTTATATCCTACACAATTACCCGCTAACATTCGCTTATTTTTCGCACTGAATTGCGTGCTAAATTAATAAAAAAATACTGGTAAAAAAAATACCCATTTGGATCGATATTTTTATGTGAGGAGCGATCCTTTTCGATACCACGTCAGTATCAAAGTATCGATACTTTAGGATCGATCCGCCCATCACTAGTTGTTGCTATAGGTTGCGTCACTTGCGTCAAGTTGTGTGTGTGTCTTGCTTCGGTCTTGTGAGACGGATTTTTATGGTTAATTTTATATATATATATTTATCTAAAATGAATTTACAATTTTATTAATACGTTCATATGTTTAAAAAGAAGAAGAATGTATTTATGTAAATTCAAATATATATATATATTTTTAGCCTACGTAATTTTTTGGCGGCACCCCTGACAAAGTCAGGGGGCACCCCAGTGTGCCGCGGCACCCACTTTGAGAAAGGCTGTGCTAAGCTATGCTAAAAGTGGTACCGCCAGAACCGGAGATCGGCAGAATGGATTCAAAAACGGTAAAACTCAACAGTTTATCTCTGGGGGAGTTGTAAAATGAGCCTATTTCCAAAAAAGTGGAGTATCCCTTTAATAAATGCTGTATAAATCCAGTTCATTATTAGTTCATGCTAACTAATGTAGTTAACTAATGTTAACTAATGAACCTTATTGTAAAGTGTTACCATAAATATATTCAATACTATAGCAACTACAGTCTCATATAGGCTACCTGTTGCTGTTCCAGCACAGCCTTATTGTGTTTGATGCTCCCTTTTTCCATCAGCTGTCTTTGGTTCTTTTCAAACTCTTCTTTACCCTGTAATAGAAATTTAAAATACATTTTTTTTTATGAATAAATAATTTACAGTCTATGAATAGATGTGTTAATTACAGTTTGTAATCTATGTTCAAAAATGTGTCAACTTAATTTGATTAAAAGAGAACAAGATCATGTTAAATTATTTGTGCATAACCAAATTCATATTCATAAGATAAGCCTTTGCTATTACATGAAGTCACAACCAGCATGCAATTGTTCCCACCATTCTTTAAAAACAAAACAAAAGTGCAAGTGCAATCCATCCATCCACCCATCCATTCTTTGACTTCAAAAAATGTGCACTGAAAAGTTTCTATTCAATCCATTGGGGGGCAGTATAATATCACAGTGAAACTCAGCCATTTTCAGTAGTGGGAATTACAGAAGTCACATGTGCCCTTTCAGCCAAGAGCATTTTCAAATACGACATGCAAAAAAATATATACACTGTATTTATATCTTTGATAGTTAAATTGCACAATTATTGTAGGTAAAACAAATGTAGCAGAAATGAGCCAATATGGTCAGTCCAGTTAAGTCACAGCTTTCACATACTATTTTTGCAATATATTAAATAAAAAAATATTAAAAATAATACTGTTGTACATTGTTTTTTAAATACTAAATTATCATACAGTTTATAATAAAAAGTATCGTTTGCATGACATCTAAAAGATGAAGAGATATCTGTGTGTGACTGAATTAATCTCATCTGCACAGTTTCAGCAAAACATTTGACAGAACACACAGCCGACGCATAACAGCTGGTGCTAAAGGAAGATGTATGTGGGCTTTGAGGAAAAGCAGGCCTGCACATGCAATCACAGTGATTGATGAAAGCCAAGGCCTGAGGCTCCACACAGTGGGGATTACAGGTACAGCCCACATAGGGTCGACACGCAGATCAATGATCATATTGCTTGCTGAGAACATACACCTGGATCTTGTTCTCAAAAGGAAACAAATGAACATTTTGTGATGATTGCATTTTTAGCGTACCTGTAAATGGACATAATCGTAGTCCTCCATCCAACCTTCCTCTGTCGTCTCGTGCGGCCTGTCTGGAGTCTCTTCCTCAGCTGAGAATTTGGGAGGGGAGGGTAACGGGCGGGACTGGATGTTGGCCCGTTCAGGTGTGCCTGACTGATAGGCTGAGATGTTGTTGTTGTTGGTCAGCTGACCCAGCATGTCTGGAGTATGGGGAACGGGTGGCAATGGTAGCTGCTGCTGTTTGTTTGTCCGTTTGAAGAGCAAAGAGGCATTGCCATGGAGAAACGATGCTAACTGCTTGGTGTCATCGGGCACACCGCGGGCACACATGACCAGGCGGTCTAGGTCGTCCCCACCGGTGCCTGTAGATGGTGCCATCAAGGCTGCGGGGGACCAGCCCAGAGAGTCCAGTGCCTGACTGTACATCACCAGGCCTTGGAAGGCCTCTTCCATCTTCTGCACCTGCTTGCCGAGCTTGGTCTGCAGCGTGCGGTCAGTGGCCTGGGTGGCGTTGGCCACGGCACCTCTAGCGAACTCCAGCAGGTCCCGGACAGCCACGCGAATGCGGTCCACGGCCTGTCGGATGGCAGGGAGGTTGGACTCCATCTGAGTGGCGCTGCGCCAGTTCCCACTGATGAATGACATTAGGAGGGACACGGAGCTCTCTACGGCCTGTTGATGACGGGACAGCCGCTCCATGGCCTGGTCCAGATCCAAGAGCAGCAGGCGACCCGGCCCAGAAGATTCACGCACCGGCACCATGTCCAGAGAGGACGTGGAGTGGTTACTTCGAGTGCTTCCTGTGCTGGACGCCGATAGGCGTTTGAAGCTGACCGTTAGATCCTCTGTGGCCGCTGCGTCACGTACCACCTGAGGAGGCACATCGTAGATGTAGTCGCCCAATTCTTCAACTGACGGCCGCTCGCGGGGGAAGTCATACACATCTGCAGGGTGGTGGTCCTGTAAGCCACTCTTTCGCAGGCTGGCAGGGATGTCATAGATCTCCTGGCCCTCAGGCTGCCGTTTCGCTACTAGCTGAGGTGGAGGAACATCATACACGTCCTCTGGTATGGGAGGCTCGGGACCGCCAGGGATCTGAGACATAAAAGCCTGGTTCTGATTCTCTAGGCTCTTCATCTTGGCAAAGTGAGGAGGGACGTCGTACGTTTCCTCCCTGATTGGACCATCTGGAACATCTTTGCTGACAGATGGAGGAATGTCATATACCTGTAAAGAGGAATAATGTGTTTACCAAAACTAGCCTGGTATAATCATAACCAAACTCATTAGGGATGTACTGATATTAACATTCTGGCAGATATTGTTGATAATTAGTCAATCATTTTAAATGTTATAAGTGAATTTAGGCACCACAACAGTACAGTATGAAAATTAATGTGTTTTTATTTTTATTTGCTAAAGATTACATTTAACTTATTAAACGATTAGCGTTTTTAAAAATCAAGTGCAAGTACGCATAAGATGATAGAAAAGGTTATCTAAATGTAAAAAAAAAGCGGAAATGAGCATAAACAATTAAATATACAATATATTTCCAAAATCTACCTTTAATATTTCTAAAATTGGTCAATAACCAAAATGGTAATGAGATGGCTAGAACTAATTTAAGTTATACACACAGCATTTGCTAAATAAACACTTGTTTGAAGGGGCTCCAAGTGCTTTTTTTCTAACAGTTTGCATAAAATATTCCTCTTACCTGACAGATATCACTTAAAATGTGACTGACTAGCTGATCAGAAATTCTTTCTGCTTGTGAATTAATTTACACTCTAGTGTTTGCTTTCATTGGGTTAGCTGAGATGTCAGTAGTGGGCAGAGTTTTGGAGGGGCAACATGTGTTTGGTAAGTGAGTGGTAAATTCATTTGCTACTGTAAATCTGACTAAAGCTAGCAAAATGACTGAAATTGCTTACAGAGCCTTATCCGAATGCATTCTGTCATTTTGTTTTGTTTCAGGGAATTCAAATCTCACCTTACGAAAAAGAAGTTTATTCAAGTGTGCTATTATTATACTTCTTTTAAACTAAAAAAAACAAGAAAGTATACTTTCAATCTACTTTTATGTACTTCTCAGAAATATACTTTATGCACTTGACTTATACTGACAGAAAAGTATATTTGGCTTATACTTGTTTTTTGATCGAAATATACTTAAACGTATAATTAAGTATTCTAAGTATACTTGGTTTGTAGTTGTGTTAACTTTTGATTGAGTAGCCTATTAAATACTTTTTTTTTTACATAGTTTTACATACCGTCTTATAAACTTACATTGTTTGAAAATATTGATTTATAAAGAAAACAGATATGTTCCTAATTCTGAGTATCTACATTTTTGTGTAGTCATAGGAATTTACTTCAAATCTACTTAACTTTGGACTATTTTGACTATTGACTGAATTTTCAGGCTATCCATGTTTTCACAGTTGTACAGTAGGGGGCGCTATTACGCATCTTCTAGTACAGAATCTCCTGATCAAAACACAGGTGAAAAAGAAGCAGAAACAAGTGATGGAAGATTGCTTATGCAAATGTAAAATAACGTGGTCATAAAACATTAATCGGCATAAACAAGTGAAAAACTGCCTAACGTTACCAAATGAAATGTCGAACCCATGAAGAGGAAACGACTGTGAAGCTTTGGGGTGTTGATGGACTCGATCTACTCCATCTATGTTTTGATCATCGTTCTGAATCCGATGCGGTCGTAGTCTTTGACAAAAATGCTATTTTCTCTGCTTTTTGTTTAAAATGTAGCTTCTTGTTTTTTTTTAATGAAACTTACCCACATTCAAGTGTTGATAAAAAGATGCATGAAGCTAGAATAAAATGTTTTTAAAATGGAAAGAGTTAAAGTACAGTTAAAGGTATATTTCAAATATAAATATTAATACCTAAATAGGAACACTTCTTTGTACTTAAAGTGCAAAAATAATATATAAATAGTAAACTATAAGTACGATGTTAAGTTTGCTCAAAGAAAAGTATACACTTGTAGTTTTGTATCTGCAGTATAAAACAACTAAACTAGTTTACAGAGATTATACTTCAAAGTGTACTTTCATAAACTAAAGTATTTGACTAGTAAAGTATACCTATAAGTTCACTTGTAGTATAGTTGCAAAAACTAGTTGTGTACTCAAATTTTACTATTGTTACACTTACAGTATGCTTAAAAGTATACTTTTATACACTAAAAGTGGGCCAATTTAGTTCTAAGTAGTTTTGAAACCGTAAACTTGCAAGTATACTTCTAGTACATTGATATTAGTATACTTACTACATAAAGTATACTTAAAATATACTTGAACTTTACTTAATAAAATTAACTTGAAGCATGCTAATTTTTTGTAAGGGTCTGCAACCCCCATCAATGTCCAAATCAAAGGTGTACATAAAACTAGAGTGTTATTGATTTGTGTCAGTCATGCATGGAGACAAGGAATAATTGTTACCGTTTGTTGGTAGTGCAGCTGGCTCTTGTCCACACTAGGTGGAGTGTCATAGATCTCCTGACCATCTCTACTGGGTGGGCCTTTCATTGCCATTGGAGGAGTATCATAAACCTGTGGCCCAGAGAAAAGACATAAAACTCATTTACTAGTTAAATAAATGAAATAAATACACAGAAGAATGTCAGATCATGTCAGTATAATGACATAATTAACCTCGTAACAGAATAAATCAGTGACTATACGTAGATCTGACCTGAAAAGGAAAGAGCCATTTAATAAAACAATTTGTGTTAGTTGAATGCAGTTTAACATGAATGGCATTTTTTGTTTTTTTGTCCTTTATATCATGAATTAAGAATGGGTATGTTTGAGAGAATTCAACATAAAAAGCCTGATTTGTTTTGGATGACGGATGGGGATATGTTGAATTGGCTCTTTGAAAATGAAATTTATAGTTTAGCTAGATATGTGGAAAAGGCGTGGAAACTTAGGCAAAGGAATTTATATCCTGATCTAAATTGACGGTGTCTTGTCTTGTTTTGTTTGTTTTTATACTGTGAAAATGATGATGATATAGTTTTCTTTTTGATGGTTGTTTTCCTATGTGCTTTGTATGATGGTCATCTTTGTGTATTATGTTTGTTTTATGTCATTAGTGTCTTTTAAGCCTAAGGGCTGGGCATGTAAGTGCAAGACACTTTAATAAATAAATAATCTAATCTAATCTTAACATGCCTGCAATGTCTAAGCAAGGCCAGGTAGAGGCTGGGCATTTGTTTTTGTCTGTTTCTCTCATTTATTTTACAACCCAGGGCCCCTGATTTCCTACCTTCTCCTACATACATTGTACTTTTTTAGGGGCTTTCGCACTGGAAGAATGTTTTCATAGTTCCTATTGGTGGAAGTACCCGCTTTTTGGCATGTTCATACTGCAGGAACTGGGAATGATTTTAGTTATAGGAACGCCTTTTGGGGGACTAAATTAGCTCCTACGTCAGAGTATGGCCTAACCCCGCACAATACAGTGACGTAAGTGTACGTTGATTGGCCGAACGCATGCCATACGAATCACTGGTGTTGTGCTGAATTTTGTGACCCTAGTAGGTGCTGTATTGCGCTAATCCAACCTACTCCTAATCACAATCCTAATCCTAACCCTACAGTCACTACAGTGCCTACTAGGGTCACACAATTTGGTGGGTCACAGAATTTGGCACTACACTGGTACCCGCCATTTTAAAAAAGCCACGTATACAGTTTACACGAATAAACTTACTCCACGAATTAACTCTATGAACATGGAAGACAGCGATAGATAGCATTTATCTGTCGCCTTTCTTTGTCTGTGGCATTGTGTTCTTTTCTCAGCCTCAATGATATGTAGCACTGTACGTTGTTGTTTTGCTCTTTTTTTTAAATGCATAACTTATACGTCTACATTCAATCCCTGTTATCATGATACTCATGATGACACACAGCTCTGATCACAAAGTCCTTCAACCTCCAGTTGTTGACATTGTTGAATGCCGTGCTTAAATGACTTTGGCCGTGCTAAAGTCACTTCAGAGTTCTTACGGGCAGTGCAAATGCAACCAGGAAAATTGCCCAAGGGGAAAATTTCGTTCTGGGGGGACCGCACTGGTGGCTAGTTCCTATAACTGAGTTCCTGTAACTACCCAGTGCGAAAGCCCCATTTGTCTTTTTCTCCCTCTTCCTTCTGTCCATAGTTTTTTGTGCATGTCGGAGAGAACACAGGTATACACAATAGAGGACACACTCCCACTGATGTGGAGAGATTACAGGAGCACAATCTCAGACAGGAACAGCTGGAGGAAATCAGCAGTCCTGCAGAGATGCTGACCTCCACCTTCACCCACCATCCCTCTCTTTCTGCTACCTCTTCAGTGGTCAAGGCTGAGTCGCTGGTCATGGGTGATAGTTAAAGAGTTTTTGTGGAAAGCCTTTAGTGGAGGTCCTGTATGCAGAGCGACCAAAGACTTGCATGGCTTCATGAAAATTAGCATTTTCAACACCAAGAGAAAATATCTGATTAAAATTACAATAAAACCTGTAATATATTGAAATACCATTTTCTAATTTAATATATTTTAAAATGTAATTTATTTCTGTGAAGGCAAAGCTGATTAGCAGCTCCAATGTCACATGATCCTTTAGAAATTATTCTAATATGATAATTTGATGCTCAATAAACCTTTCTTATGACTATCAATGTTAAAAACAGTTGCACTGCTTAATATATTTTTGTGCATACTTTTTCTCAGGATTTTTCAGGATTCTTTGATGATTAAAGTTCAAAAGAACAGCATTTATTTGAAATAGATCTTAATAATCTTTTGAAACATTATAAATGTCTTTACTACCACTCTTGTCTTGATAAATTGAAATTGTCCTTGCTCAATAAAAGTAATTTCTTTAAAAAAATAATTAAAAAAATCGTACTGACCCCAAATATTTTAATGGTAGTGTATACGTATTCATGTATTATTACAAAAACATATATATATAAACATTTATTTTTTTATATCATCTAAATAAGGGCATATCATTAATTAACTTTTATTTATTTTTGTATGTAAAGCTAATTATAAATACTAGTAACTACCCCAAACTTAAGGGCCTACCGCTTCCCCTAAGATAAAACTTTTTTTTTAAGTGATAATAGTAATTATTTAAATAAATCAATTTATATTTGTGGATGTCATTGGATATCTCTAACAAGAGGTTTTGTCAGATTTAGCTCATTTCTGAGCACAGATTTGCCCCCAAGCTATAGTTAAATAAACCTCCCGACATTAATCTATTAGAGATTTTAGCGTTTTTATAATGTATACGACACAGAGCTACACATGCTCTCTCATCAATACAAAAACAGCACTGACTCGAGTTTCAGAATGTGCTATAAATGAAGTGTGACTTCCTGTCCCAATGTCCTGTCAAACCTATGACGACTGATATAAATATCATATAATGCCTGCAGCTCAACTGGTACAAAAAAAGAAAAAATAACCACACACACACACACACACACACACACACAAAGGCCCACAGCGCTTGAATGTTAGTAAAGGATTAAAAGCCAATAAATGTTTTATAGTGTTAGCAGTAAAATTGAGATTTTTCCACTACTGCATTTGATATGGGTGAAGTGAGGTCAAGGGAATTTGGATTAAAGTCTAATCTTGTCTGAGATAGAGTTAGTGTCACACACACACTTAGGGACTGGTAAATTTCAATAGTACATTTTATTTTAATACTTATATGCATTAATAATTTAAACCAGCGGTTCACAAACTGCCCTCTAAGGGTTGTAATGGCATAAAAAATGTATCATTATGAATGCAGCTGTTTGACATAGATGTCTTGATGTCATAAAGTACATAATGGCATTTTATGGAAATAAAATGTCACATTTTAAGCATTACCGATACCAAAATACCATTCCTTCATCATTTATTGCTCTCCAGAGCTCTTGACGCCTGCTGGAAGCAATAATCATTGCTTATAACAGAAATGTGTTGCATACAAAGTGAGAATGTATTTGAATATTATAGTTCAAATTCAAAATAATAATAGTTCTCTATGATCAGAGTACTGTGCAACAGTCAAACATCCACTGATTTAAACAATTTACAGCTCATGTAAGGAGCACAAATTTACCCAGAACAATCCTAATGCATGTCCTTAATGTGTACTAGAGATTTCTGAAGTCATGTCCACTCTATACTTCTATCAATACTGCTCCAATCACACACATACACACACATCCTTACACAAACGCCATTAGCATTTATAATGCTGGCCAAACAATGGCTCTCAATCTGTTGTGCGCCCCCAGGAGAGCCTGCAGCCAGAGACGGAGGCAGGAGAAACCATGAATACCAAAACCTCTCACTGAGCATCCAGCAGCGCTCTGCCAGCTCCATTTGATTAAACGACTGTGTTTTTTGCTCTGTATCGCTCTAATCTGAGAGACTGTGATTTGTTACAATGAATATTTGGAGCAATTTTGGGAAGAAAGTGTTTTGGCTTGCAGCGTTTTTTTGTCGGCATGAAAAATTGAGAGATTTGACTGCACTGACACTATTGGATGAGAACAAAACTTGAACTGAATTGAGCTAAATGATGTTTTGCTTTATAGCTGAATTGACTTTGTTTCATAATTGACGAATTTTGCATCATTGACACTGGTATTGAACTGACTAAACTAAATTACGACACGTCTTCTGTAAAGCTGTTTATAGCTGAATTTAACATATTTCATGATTGATAAACTTTACTGTTATTGAACTGAACTGAATCCACACTGAACTGACTTGAGAGTTGTAGAGCTGCTCTACACATAGACTGTAAAAAAAGATGGACAGCGCGTCTCTGCTTCCTTTAAGCCAAAAAATAAGCCAAAATATCCAAAACTATTGGGAAAATGAACATACGTCTGCATGATGAGAACTACCTAAAATGACAAAAACCATCTTTGGATTTTATTGATTTTTTTAAAGGTTTGCGTCAATTCTCCAAAATTCAACTACATGGAGAGGACGGGGTTTATGACCTACTGCAGCCAGCCACCAGGGGAGATTGAAATGCTTTGGCCTCACTTTTCAGGACTTGCGCGGCACACTTGCTTTACATCAGAATTTGAATTTTTCTCATATTTGATGAAGTTTGCATCGTTGATCATTATTTTTGCAGTTTATTACTGTAACGCTGAATTGAAACAATCTGTATTGTGCAAAGCGCAATATAAATAAAGGTGACTTGACTTGATGCAATAGTTGAGATTAGCGAATTAGCATGTGCCAACACACAACGTTATTATCAGCCACAGTTCAATCTTAGTTTATGTTTGTTTTACACCATTTGTGTTTTTACATTACTTCTAATGATGTGTTTTGGCCACAAAATGACGAGTGATGTGCCTCATCTTATCTGCCCTGTTTAGTCCACTGCTCTGTCATTTACATCATGTGCTCTGGTCTTTGCCTTCATCCATGTTTCTCTCATTCTCTGTGTATGGCTCTGCTGAAGGCTGTGTGTGCTGGAATTATGTGGTCTGGGTATTCATGGCCTTTGCCGTGAGCCAGGCTTTGTCTGTCTCTTTCTCCCCCAGGGTTGTGTACTGTGTGTGTGTGTGTGTGTGTGTGTGTGTGTGTGTGTGTGTGTGTGTGTGTGTGTGTGTGTGTGTGTGTGTGTGTGTGTGTGTGTGTGTGTGTGTGTGTGTGTGTGTGTGTGTGTGTGTGTGTGTGTGTGTGTGTGTGTGTGTGTGTGTGTGTCTGTGTGTGTGTGTGTGTGTGCGTGTGTGTGTGTGTGTGTGTGTGTGCTGCATTGAAGGACTGATCTTGCTGACAGCACATTCTCCCTCATATACACACAATGCATTGCACACATATGTGTGCGCACACAGCGGTCTCAGGATATTCTGCTTCACACACTCACAATGCTGACCTTCTTTTTGAAATGCCTCCAGACACTGAAATTTCTACTTCCACTGCAAGTAATGCATGACCTCATCTAAAAATAGGCATGCAATCATCGAGCCAACAGAAATATAAGGATGCAGGAAAAAAGAAAGACAGAAAGAGAGAGAAAAGACAGCAAGAACTGAAAGCAAGAACAATAAAGGAAAGAACAAATTCAAGAGAAAGAGTGAAAGCAAGAGTGCAAGAAATAGAAAATGTGTTAGTCAAAAAAGAGAATGAAAATGAAAAAAGACAAACAAACGTGTGAAAGAAACCAAAATAACATGTAAAAAGGCCTAGAAATGTGAAGAGAGAATTAAAAAGAGTGACAAAAACAAAGCAAAATAGTGAAAACGAAAGACCTGAACAAAAGAGCAAGATAAATAAAACAAAAGAGAGAGCATGTTAAAAAAGCAGCTAAAGAAAGAAAGAAAGAATATTCTCATTGCTTGTATTGTTAAACATCTATCACACACACACACACACACACACACACACACACTGCAGACATCTGAGATGCACTTAAAGGCTATTATCATCAATAGCGATTTTCAACTGGCTCATCCACAAAATACTATATCAAATAACCTACAGCGTAATGATCTTCACAAGGACATTAAAGTAAATATGAACCTCAACACATTGACATAATCAGTGCACACAGAGTCATGTGATGTTTCTCTTTACCTGTTGATTGTACTGGGTGCGGGTGGGCGGCACGTCATAGATATCCTGTGTGGGTGGAAGGTGTCTGGGGACGTCATACTCATCCTGTTCACTTTTCCCCATGTCATACACGTACATTTGACCAACCCGTGTGGGAACAACTACCTAAAACAGAGAAAAACAATTGCATGAGGCTGTGGAATGGCTGGCCACATAAAGGAGGATAAAGATGCTGCCCTGATGGTGCTGTTCACACCAGGTTAACACAGACTCTATACAACAAATCTGGGGTCTCAGAGGTCACCGTGGGAACAGGGGCCACCCTTTTGTCTGCCTGTTTACCTTCTGTCTTATGCTTCGAGGACTGTGTCGACCGCGTGAGCCTGGGAAAAGAAAACAAGCTACGACCCCATATTTGTACAACGCCTGAGACATAATACCAATCACAACACCGACTCAGATGAGCTGTTCAGGATGTTCAACTACTTCACAAGGATTGTAGCATAATGCAGCTAACGCATGTCAAGTCCAATTTATTTGTACAGCACTTTTCACAATACACTGAGTTTCAAAACAGCTTTACAGAAAATTATGATGTTAGTATTTATATCTTAATCTTTATGCTTTATAGTCACATTTAGCAGATTAGAGCTAGGCAATGTATGTATGCGGATAAAGTTGGACCTACTTATATAATATACAACTTTATATAACAACTTTATATCAAGAGTTGGGTGATAATATAGTTACATTTTATCGCCCAGCATTCTCTCAGAATATGTAATATTAGCAATGTGTGATATTAGGGATGCCAGCTATGTTCGTACAATATCAGTTATCTATGGAAGCTTGTTTCCGCCACAAAATAAAAAATAAAAAAGGTAACTGCGACTTTTAATCTCACAGTTTTTTCTCACAATTGTGAGTTTACATCTTGCAATTCTGACTTTCTCGTGCAATTTTGACATTTTTTCTCAGAATTACGTGATGCACAGTTATAAATTGTGTTATAAAGTCAAAATTCTGAGAAATATACTCACAAATGCAAGAAAAAAGTCAGAATTGTGAGATTGTGAGATTTTTTTATTCTGTGGCAGAAACAAGCTTCCATGGTTATCAGCCAATATATATTCTTTTTTTAATCAACATCGGTCAAATTTTTTAACTGTCATTCCCTTTTTTTACATCGGATTAGTTTATATTGGATATTAGTTTATACTGGATATTAAATTTGTGCATTTCTTTCGTTTTATATTTATAAACACAAATAGTCTAATAACACTCTGAGTGATTATACCGCCGTCAAGAGGTTTTTGCTCAGCATGAAGCAGAGCAAAATCACCGTAACAAATAGCCTTACGAGGTTCACTGCTTGAGTATGTTAGTAATGCACTCTGGCCTCTTTAAAACAAGAATTTGCTCCTTGATATAAACATGTATGGACGGGGCGGTATTGGTTTGTGTGCACAGGTGAGGTGTGTACTGTAATGATCTGGGTGGAGTGAGCTTTATGTAGCTTTCATGATTTCCCGCAGGCCAGTTGTACATGATTGCTGGCCTTCACTCGTAACACTGAGTTAATGAGATTACTTGCGCTTTCATTCTCACTCTCTTTCCTCACTCACTCCCTTTATCAGTCCACAGCAGCCAGTCTATAGGAACGCACTGTGCCAGCCTTGGGTATGGGCGTCACTACTCGCATACTAAACAACAGTTACTCACATGCATCATGGATACAGACAAAGATTGGTAGAGGTCACTCAAGAATCCCAGTATGGGGTGAATCTCACATGACCAGGTCATATTCCACAACCAAATAAAAAATAATATATATGTTTTTAATCATTGATATCGGTTTAAATTTGATATTTAATTGTCATTTCCTCTAGTTTTAAATTTAGATCAGTACTGTAAAGCTTGTCGGCTGATATTAGATTTTATTTTATTATTATTAACTATCAAATCAGTTTATATTGCATGTTTAATTGTGCTTTTTTTTATGTAGATTACCTTTGCAGTCATATAAATCTCATTTGAAGTTATGTAGATTACCTTTGCAGATATATAAAAAAAATGTAATACATTTTTCTTGCATTACACTAATGAGAATCAACACAGAGAAAAATAAATGGTCAATTTACATTTGAAAATAGAAAAAAATTCTTGATGGTCCTTCAAATATGCTTAATATTTTGTGTATAATATAATTTCTCTTATTTTTGATAAGCAAGAGTCTTCACTTATAGTCAGGGAGGACAGAGCAGTGCTGATTAACCACTCAGACTCAATGAAGCTTTTCTTTGTGAGGCGTTCATGCTTTGTTAGATTAAATCTAGTGACTATGGTAACCAGGCACGAGCGACGACAAGGCGAGCACAATGGAAAGCACGTGTGCACACATGTACAATGCATTTAAAAGAACTATACTGTCTACCCAGCACTTTGCAGTGTTGCTTGTCATGTCTGCAACATTAATAAAGAAGACAGTAGGCAAATGAAAATCCCAAAGATCTTGTATTTATATTTACTCTCCCACTCACTCAGACTGTCACTTTAGATCCCTGCTAAACATCCAATTAAGCCTTTCTCATTAAAGAAAGCTGGCAATCTGTCACTGTTAATTCTCATCCTTCTCTCTCTCGCTCTCTCTTCACCCATCTCACCCCTCTGCCTGATTCTTGCCCTTTTTTTCCAAATGGCATTGCAAAATCGATGATAAATTCCTTCGGATTTTTTGTTAGTGAGGTAAAAGCGTGTTATTGGTGTGATTTATTGGATAAACCCTGTGACCCGTGGACCACCCTGTCCCTATCTCCAGAAAATCCACATATTCACGACCTCTCTCTCCAACATCACTGTGGTAAATTGCTGCATTCTCCACGGTGCTGTACACACTTTCACACACATTAAGATGAACTGCAGGTGTTTCATCTGACACTTCCACACATACACGACCTCCGGTACCGTCACACTCTGCATTTTCACTTAGCCTGACAGAGGTGAATCTATCTATCTATCTATCCATCTATCTATCTATCTATCTATCTATCTATCTATCTATCTATCTATCTATCTATCTATCTATCTATCTATCTATCTATCTATCTATCTATCTATCTATCTATCTATCTATCTATCGATCGATCGTATAATTCATACAGTACTCACAGTCCTGAATATTAATTGGTCAATACATCATTCCAACCATGCAAAAATACATGATACACCAACAGTTATGATGTGAAACACCTGTTCACAAACTGAGTATATCACTGTGCGACAATCATAGAATAACATTCTGTTATTGCTTACCGGTCACTGTCAGAGACTACATCAATATTGCTCAAACAGTGGTCCTTTAGTATTGTACACCCTGTGTTTAATTTCACTGCCCTCTCAGACCTGTGCTTAGCTTTAAGTAATTGTCATTCCATCCCGCTGAGAGCCTCTGAAGGGCCGGCCGTAATGACCATCGATCAATAATGTGAATTATCAATGAGTGCTGCTCTGGGGAGTGATGAAGATGGCACATATGGTGGACCGCCATCATCCATCCCTCATCAATATAGCTGAAAGGGTCTGATCATAGAGAGTGGGTGTGTTCAGGCCTCCAGCTGTCACAACAATCTCTGGGGGGCGGGGTGAAGTGCCTGTAATGATGATGTCACAAAGAGACAAACACTCCCTGGTGTGGAAGGAAACAATAGGGGAGCAGTGACCGTCTGACTGTGTTGCCCCGCGCCATGACAGCTGGCCAAGAGTCACAATCACAGCAGCTACATGGCCATTAAGTTCAGCACTGAAGAGAGGGACAGATTGCAAAGGCTGCTTTACAAAAGCCCCTGTACCCCCTGCTGCATCGACGAGCTGTGACCTCCTTACCCCAGCTGACACAATGACACATGCCACCACTCTAGAGAAGGCAGCCAGGTCTGCTGAAGACATTCCAGCCAGGCCTGGCTCCTTGGACCATGGATGCCACTAATTTAAATCTATACCTGCAAACCGAATACCTGATGCAGAGGATCTTGGGAGATCTCAGAGGGATCTCATTATAAATGTATCCTTAACAAAACACTAACTTTTAACTGTGGAAAAATACTTAAACAGATATCTTAATGATAATTCTGTATTGTTCTGCTTTTTCTCAAATATCTTTGTCACTCAGCTGTGCACATTTTGATAGAAAATCTTAGCATGATGTTTTTAAGAGCAAGATTTTCGTTCAAAGCCCTTCAAATGCTATTTGTCTTTCAAGGCTTTTAAATATCGGAGGTCAGCAAATATCCTCAACTCTCAGAAACAATAATAATTGTTTTAATTCAATAACACCATTAAAAAGACAAATATAACCGCAAACTCACTTGTAAGCTTATTTTTAACATTTCAGCAACAAACCCGTGTCAAGGTAACATCATAAGTAAGGTCAGTAATAACTCAAATGATAATGGTAAGATCACAATCTGTGTTCAATATTTGGTTAACAAGTCTTGAGAAATTAAAACAATTAAGGTCATAGATTGATCTGTATATCACATTACATCTCCTAGACAAACTTAACAATGAGGTATAAATTAGTTCCTAAAGACCACTACAACATGAAACAATATTCCATTTACCAACCACCAACACATCCACAATAATACGTATTCCCTTATCTACATACACATGCTATACATTTACACATATAAATTCAATTTTAAACGCGCGTCTTACAAAAACAACTCAATTTAGATTCCATATTCAAACCATGTCATTTTTTTTATTTAATAACACCAAACAGAAAACGAAAAAAAAAGGTTGTGAAAGGAGTAATCTGATAAATGTAATTCCAGCCAGTCTCACATTCCACACAAGCCATTCATTTCGGTTTACCTTTTCAAAAGAGTTTCCCAACCTTCTCTAAAAACCCATTCACGGAGTCTAATATTATCCCAAAATATATCTGACTCAAGGTTGCAATAGTTTAGTAAAGTTAGATTTATCAAAGTTTACCCTAAGCTTGGCTTTGATTCAACGCAGTGCCACAAATAACTGCATCCAGAGGCCTGGAACATAATGAGGGGTCAAAGTCCAAAAGCTGAAGGGCTTCCACATACCTTCACATACGCTATATTCTCACACACTCTTTCTCTATTTAAGTGGCTGTGCATAAGAATTTCCCC